GTAATATCGATTTTACTTAAAACTACATTTTCACAAATTGCAATCCATAGCCAATTACTGGTGAGAATTTTATAGCGATCGGACAAGGAAAAAACTTCTTTTAAGGTGATTGAAAAATATCGGTATGGCCTTTGAAAAACTGTATCGAAACACCTTAAGTTATCGTTTTTGGAAGGTTTTCGGTCCGCGTTTCTTAATTCTGTATTTTCCTATTTTTTTTTTTTTACTGCAATTGCTCTAGTGAATCAAGAAGTAAAAGTCGAATTCAAACTGTACGAGAGGGGTTTCTCCGGTTTCCCCCTCTCCCACGGTTGTGCCCAAGGGTTGTACCCTTGGGTACCGGTCAGAAGGACAGCCGAGAGGTACTGGAGATGACTTTCCGATTCGGCTGCCTCTCGGAAATTCTCGGTAAATCCAATATGGCGTCTTAGTCCTGACTTGTTTGTCGACTTGTTCACAGAAGAAGGGGACCAGTGCGAAGAAAAGTAAGGCTTTGCAATATGCTTGTTTGAAATCCCATTCCATGACCACTTAGAGGTTCGTTTGGAATGCATTCTTGAATAGAATTGTATCGGATGAGATCGTATAGATTTGTGCATGAACTTTGTCTATGTCGGAAGGTAATACGACCCGGGAATACGACCTAATACCGCTCAGAGGGTCACACTAGATAAGCAAGGAAAATGACCACCATTTAGTTTCGTTTGGTTATTTATGACATACCTTACGGCTTTTCTGCATAGGTTTTCTCCAGATCTAAAGAATGTTGGACTTAAAATGTAATTATTGTTTCAGTGTTCTGTTGTCTTGTCCCTCAAACCGGTATTACGTTGGAAGTTAATACCGCTCAGAGTGTCACGCTGGATATATAAGGAATGTAACCTCTATTTAGTCTCTTGTGGCTTTTTTATGACTTACCGGTAGTTCAAGGCTTTTCTGTGTAGGTTTCCCCTAGACCTGGACATGATCGGTCAATGAAGCTTATTGTTTTTGTTCTGTTGTGTTGTCCCTCTGACCGGTATTATGTAGGAAGGTAATACCGCTCAGAGGGTCACGCTGGATAAATAAGGAATGAATATCATTTAGTCTCACTTGGATTTTTATGACATAATTTCGGGCCTTTCTGTTTAGGTTTTTGTTAACTCAGGACATAAAAATAAAAAGAAATGTACTTTACGCTGAAAAATGGATATATTTTTTTGATACAGGAAAATTGAAAAAAGATTCAATAATTATTTCTGATTATTGTTGTCTTGTTTATACATCAACTTAGTAGCCTGGATTCTAACATGCAAGTAGGAATTCTTTTTTCGTGGAGAAGGGTCGCAGAAACAAAAGAAATTATGCCTGATTACAGGCTAGGTTATCTGCATTCACTGGCTTTTTTGTGTTATGTGTCCCACCCTAACTAACTACCATTGCTAGATCCACACTACACTACTTTCTAAGTAGGCGCCCGCCCCCCCCTCCTCAAAAATTCACCCTCCAGACCCTTTACTTCTTCCCCTAGATCTGCCACTATTAATGCTTGCAGGGATTAAACACTGGCATGTGTTTTCATTTTACAGCATGATTCATATTATTTTTGTAATTTTCCACTCCCAAGTACAAGTATCCAGAAGCCGATCCAATAAGTGCTCCTGAAGTACCTTATTACATAAATATCACTTTTAGAAAATCTCCATACCCCCCTACACTCTCTACTGAAAGTACTGGGAATTCCTGGGGGTGGGGGGATTGTCAAAGACTAAAAAGTAAAAGAAGTAATTTCCAGAGGAGTGCGGCAGGTGTGTAAAATAAATGAAAGTAAGGAGAGAGAGCAAGAATCCAACATTCAATAGGCCACTTGTGATTTATTCCAAAAAATCAGTTCAGTTTCATAACATGGCCAAGTGCACAATTAACCATTGATATGAAAATGATTTTTTATTCTGATGCAAATAAAACTAATTTTGATATTAATGGTTGCGCACTAGGGGAAACCTACACAGAAAAGCCTTGAACTACCAGTATGTCATAAAAAGCCACGAGAGGCTAAATGGAGGTCACATTCCTTTTATATCCAGTGTGACCCTCTGAGTGGTATTACCTTCCGAAGTAATACCGGTTATATGGATAAGACAACAGAACAGAAACAATAAGCTTAATTGACCGATCATGATCAGGTCTAGGGGAAACCTACACAGAAAAGCCTTGAACTACCGGTATGTCATAAAAAAGCCACGAGAGACTAACGTTAGCCAAAGCCCACCCGTGCTTCGATCATCCTGAATATTGAATGATAGCAATTTGTATTGCAAAATTGTGAAATACTGCAGTCTGTTGTCCGAGGTCTGTATGATAAAAACAGTGCCTCATATCATAGTACTGTTCACCTCAGATGTGATGTATAAATGACATAAAAGGTTGTCGAATGCAAAAAATTCAGCTGGAATTTTTTCCAGGCCTTAATTAATCTACGGTGATCAAGAGCCATTATGGCTAAATGTGATTGAAGATGATTGCCAGTTTTTGGGTGTACATATGAGGCTATCAAATCGATGTAAGATTTGGTTCACTCTTGGGCCCGTTTGCAAATTATTTTTCTCTAAAATCACGGTTTCCCTGAAAAGTCGCATGATTGTGCTCTAAAGTTAACTGAATTGTGGAATACAAGTTTATTGTTTGATTTAAATTATAAACTAATTAATGGGAGCCTCGCTTTTAGCCCTGGCTAAATCTATGTATTATATCCAGTGTGACCCTCTGGGCGGTATTACCTTCCTACATAATACCGGTCAGAGGGACAACACAACAGAACAAAAACAATAAGCTTAATTGACCGATGATGATCAGGTCTAGGTGAAACCTACACAGAAGAGCCTTGAACTAACGGTATGTCATAAAAAAGCCACGAGAGACTAAATAGAGGTTACATTCCTTATATATCCAGCGTGACACTCTGAGCGGTATTAACTTCCGACGTAATACCGGTTAGAGGGACAAGACAACAGAACAGAAACAATAATTACATTTTAAGTCCAACATTGTTTAGACCTGGGCAAAACCTGTGCAGAAAAGCCTCAAGGTATGTCATAAACAACCAAGTGAAACTAAATGGAGGTCATTTTCCTTACTTATCTAGTGTGACCCTCTGAGCAGTATTACCTTCCGACACAATACTGGTCAGAGGGACAAAGTTCATGCACAAATCTATACGATCTCACCGATACAATTCTATTCAAGAATGCATTCCAAATGAACCTCTAAGTGGTCATGGAATGGGATTTTAAACTAGCATATTACAAAGCCTTACTTTTCTTCGCACTATTGCCCTTCTTCTCCAATACGAGCTTGTGAACAAGTCGACAAACAAGTGAGGACTAAGACGCCAGGCAGCCGAATCGGCAAGTCGTCTACAGTACCTCTCGGCTGTCCTTCTGACCGGTATTATTTAGGCACAACCCTCTCCTAAACAAGCAACACTTTTCTAATTTGACCCTCAACGTAAGGACAAACTCTTAGGTGTTTTGCGGGTAAGCAAACAAACCATTAAATTTTATATTGTTAGCCCAAACGTAAACTCCTCATTAAATATCCTCGGCATGTTTTCCAGTTCAGATATACTAGAGACCTTTCCTAAGACGAGAACGACTACGAGTACGAGACTTTTCTCAATGAACCAGCGTCATTTTCGCGGGAAAACGTGATAGCCGTCGTCATTCTACTACGTGTTTTAGTGAGAATGTCGAAGTGGCGGGAACAAGTTATCAAATGTAAGAAGTTTTATCATTCTGCTATCGGGAGAGGGCTTAGCGTCCTTCAGTATAAATAGCCCTACCAACTTTTGTGGTGAAAAAAAGTAAATTGAAGTTTTCCGGGGTGTCTTTTTTCAGAGCACGCACAAAAACTTTAAGTTAAATCCCCTCGTATTCGTAACAGTTCTCGTCCTCAAATCTAACTCCCTTTTTTCTTACAGACAACGACAATGTCATCTACGTAGCTGACTTGGTGAGACGGGTCTCTCCATTGCAAGCAGACCATTCCAGAATAGAGGTAGGGATCAGATAAGACCTTGCTGCTGTGTGGACCAGACTGGTAAGATCAAAAGTCACGGACATGTCTAGTTCCCTGTCACAGTTGCCTGCGTGCAGACGTCTCCTATTTCCTTTGTTGCACGCGGAAAAGGGACGGCGTGCAACAAAGGAAATAGGAGACGTCTGCACGCAGGCAACTGTCACAGAGGCAAAAGCTCAGAATTTTGCTCCGCAATGTAAAGACCACAATAGAATTTGTAATGTTTCAAGCTTAACAATACCCTTTCATATTATCATATCCTCTCTTACGCTGCATATAGACTGAAAGTAGTTTTCAGAATGGTTTTGGACACTATAAACGTTTTCTCAAAGATACAAATGTCTTCCCTAGTTTCTCAGAACTGGAAGGAAGAAATGAACGGATTTATCTTACGCTGTCTTGCGAGCTCGGGGTTAAATATTTGTTCCGGCTTCCTGTCTCTTTTGTTCAAAAGCATTTCCGTTGTAAATTTTTACTACAGCAGTCATTTATCACATTCACGCAAAAAGAATCTACAACTATAATTTGCTTTTCAACAGCCCTTCTCAGTTTATTTTATTTGTACTGTTTATTTATTTATTTATTTTTATTTGTACTGTTTTTTTCTTTGGCCAAGCGTACAAAATAAGATACTTTTGTGTTATTTATGATTATTTTCCCGGCTCGCTTGCCTGTTCGTTTGAGACGAAGAATAAAATCAACCCCTTAATAGGTCTATAACGTTACTATAAAATAAACATCGACCGGTCGAGTTATGCCAATACATTTAAGAGGTAATTATACTGCTCCTTAAGTGAATTAACTGAGGTAACGCGAGTAGTTTTCTTATTATTTTTTTTAATTTGAAATATTTTAGTGACTTAACTGCGTGACAAGCAAAGGTGCTGGTGCGTGAAGCCGGAATTAACTCTAAGTACAGTTCACGTCATATGGCTTGATATTCTCTAAATTATTCCACTGTCAAAAGGAAGAACTTTGAAAACGTGATCAGTTTCTGTCGGACATTCTTCCCATGTTCTTTGGCGATCTAGACGACTGTTAAAAAACCGAACGAACAAGGGTTTGAAATTGTCGATGTAAAGACTACTCTTGGTCCATATCTTTGCATTTAGAATGTCTTCGAATCACGGTACAGACAAGACTAATCACTTCCCGTCCGCCGAACTTGTATCTGGGCAGAAACGAACGGAGGAAAGCGATTCAAAGCAATTCAGTAAGGTAAAACAGAACAACATTTAAGTTTTAGTTGAAGAGCAATTCACTTCGTAATCTGTTTACGACCAGCTTCTGGAAGTTGTTGTTTGCTTTAAACCAAAGCAAAGTATAACGGTGTAGATTGTAAATTTGGAAGTGTTTAATTTCTACTGCAGCAAAATTTGTTGAGCTCTTGATCGGCTCCACTACTATGGGTCCGAGGCTATATATAGGGTTTTCCCGGTTTCAGCAGTTGTGTGTTACTGATTTACTACTGCTACTTCGAGCAAGCCGCATAACGGAACTAGGTTCAAATAGAACTTTATACGTAACTTTGTTAGGTATGGCTTCTAGGTATGCGGTGCTTTTTGACTGTGAATTAAAATTAAGAAAGTTTTCCCTCGAATTGATCTCACACTGGCTTAGGAGAAATAAAAGAACTTCAGTAACAAAAGGGAAAAGAAAAGGGCAAACAGTACGTGGTAAAAAACTTAAAGCTCCAAACTAAGATATTGCCCACTCGCCGCTGTTGAATCAGCTGAACTTTGTTTGCAAAACAACAGTTTTGCCGCATAAAATTGTCGTGGGTTCTTTAGCCAGTAAAAGAAATGAAAACAAGCGAAGAAATTTGTACTGGGCCTTCATTCGGAGTTAAACATGTGGAACATGTGTGATATTATATAATTGTTACAGCTGTTTTCAGGCCTTATTGTACAAAAGCGAATATTAATTAATGGTAATAATAAATTAGTATAAACTTAAAAACTTGGTATTTTAATTTCAACGTATGGCGGAAATGCTTCAAAGAAATTACCCAAATTATCCATGTTTAAGGCCCTGAATTCAGTTCTAATTTCTGCTGATCATACTAGACAAGAAACGTTTACGCCTCAGTAAGCACTCTATAGCATTCGCTCATACTGCACGAAATTGTAAAATCACAGGGGTAAAGCGATTTTATTGAAATTGTGTTGTGACGTCACAGAGATTGTTTGAAATTCGAGTCTTCGTCATTATTGCTGTTTTTTTCCTCTGGTAAGGAACAGTTACTAAAAAGAAAACGTATATATAAATTAAATTTCCCTTATTCATTAAAGTCATCGGTGTCCAAACAGCGCAGTTTTCTTCGCCTAATCATTGTATTTCGTGACTAACAATTCATTTGTGCTTTTAATTAAGAGTTGATTTAAATTCACGCTGATTAGCCTATTTTACTATTTTACTCTTCTATTGTGTTATCATGGCTGACTAACTTCAATGCAATTTATTTCTGGCTGTGGCAATAACAGTCAAAAATCCGGGATGTAAAGTTTCTATTTACCATTGAATATGGCGTTTTCTCTATTCAATATGTGATGAAAAAAGTCCTTTCAGTTCATTGTCTTGGAAACTCTGATACCAAGAGAGGATAAAGCCTTATCCTCTCTTGCTGATACCCATAATATTGCAAAAACATTTGTAGTCATTGTCCTTCGAATTCGCTTTGGAGTTTAAAAATTTGCTTTATGTGTGATTCAGTTATTCCAAAAAAATTTATCCAAGCGAGGGAGAATAACTGATTTGAAAATGGGCGGCACTTGCTAATGCATGTCCCATCTTTTAACCTTAACAGCCCACGAACGGTAAGGAATCATGGATATACTCCACATTTAAAAAACGAACATGTGGCCAGTTCATACCCTCTAAAAAGGAAATTACACGGTGAGTAGAGGTAGTAGTAGTTGTAGCGGCAGCACTCTTAGGGCCTGTTTACATGGGGGTGGTGGACCCCAGGTAGGTGAGGTAACCCGCCTGTACATATAATGTCTCATGTGGTCACCCCACCTATCAGGTAAACGCGATTGAATTGATATGAGAGATTGTATGAACAGGCGGGTTACCCCAACTAGGCGGGTTACCTCACCTACCTGGGCTCTCCCACCTTCATCTGTACAGGACGTTAGTATGACTATGATATTACGTTTTGAAACAAATTAAAACCTGCCGATCGCTTGAAACTTCTGGCTCATTGACAATTATATCTTTACTTTAGTTGTTGTTGCGGTCGATTGCACGAAGACCATGAATCTGAGGCGACCCGTCATATCCAGTCCAGTGATGTCACGTGGGACATCAGCCAGCATACTATAGAGGAACCAACAGATGCTTACGGTGAACTGGAATTTACTGGGGCTGGACAAACCAGCAGAGCTAAGGTAAGAGTAAACACTATTAGAGGCGTAAGCAGTTGTAGTTATGAGATGGAACGTAGAGTTCCAAGACTATCTCACTTATTTTACTTTTGTTTTTTCATCGTTATAATCCTTAGTTCATCCGCATCTCTCATGACACTGATCCTGAAAAGGTTCTACAAGTGTTAAGGTACGAATGGAAGCTAGAGTTACCCAAGCTGCTGATCTCTGTAACAGGAGGAGCAAAAAGCTTTCAGCTGCATCCAAAATTAAAGAACGTGCTTCGACAGGGGCTTTTAAAGGTAACCGCGATTACCGTAAAAAGAAATAGCTCTCTGAAAGTCTAGAAGACAAGGCTAACTCTGAAAAATGCCTCAAAATGTCTTGCAACTGAAAGCCTAAAATCCAACTTTCTCCACTAACTATGTACAAGTCAAATTAATTTGTAAAAAAATTTCTCACTAACACAAGCACGTAGGTGGTTTTGTATGGCGCTTGAATAGAGATAAAAAAGGAACAATTTATTCTACCCAAATTAATTTTCTGTGGCTCTTTAAGAGGTGTTACAGTAGGTTATCGGACCCAGTCGCTTTCATGCGCCACGAATTAGACGTGCGCACGGTTATACTGATTAAGGCGAACGCCCTTGAACTCCCCACACATTTTCAGTCCAGTGCGAGTGCTGAAAACTTTTTCATCAGCCAAGCTGTTGACTATAGAGTCATATTTTTTTTCTTGTCGAATGAACGTGTTTGCGCTTTCGTTTTCCACATAAGGCATACGAGAGATGTGTGTAATTTAATTATTCAAAAAAGCTCTTTATCGTTACAAACAAGAGATGGAGTTTGATACTGACTGTTACCGTAATTTTAATGATCCACAGGCCGCCCAGACCACAGGTGCATGGATTATCACAGGCGGAACAAACACTGGCGTAATGCGTCACGTGGGAGAAGCCGTCAAGGGTCACACTGTCATGTCACGTGGGGCGCAGATAAAAGACAAACCTTCCCAGCTGCACTTGATTGGAATTGCTACGTGGGGAATTGTGGAACATAGATCGGATTTAATAAACAGCAACGTAAGATCCTTGTGTGAAAGGTTTGAACCCAAGAGTCATTTCATAAGTGGGTGGAGCATGCTCGTCTGGGTTGACAGTGCCTGAAGTTTCAACAACCTGTGCGAAAGAATGACTGGATAATAGACCAATTCCGATATATTAAAATTCATACTTGGTTGTGAGGCTTGGGGAATAAAACAAAAGAAATCATCTTGAGGCTTATTAATGAATAATACATTTCTTTTGTTTTATTTCCCCAAGCCTTGGAGCCAAGTATGAATTTTAATGTATCGAAAATGGTCTATTGACAATTTGACTAACAATAAACGACTGTTGAACTGTGACAAAAAACAGATCGAAACACACCAATGACATTTAGCCAATAAGGCTTAACTGACAGACGACCAATAACATTGCGACTTAATCGACCTATCAGGTCAATAACCATCAACTGACGTATTACAGCTCACTTTAACTCTGAAGATGACTACCGCACAGGTTGCCGAAACGTCAGACACTGTTAACAGCAGTCCGATTCAGCACTACGACAACTCGTAAGATCATGCTCTATCTACTTATAAGATCCTCGAGATGTTGTTGAAATACCGGTCTTTTCCTTATAATGCCATCGCACAGCTTGTTTTAAAGATTTTGGTTGTTATATTGTTAGTAAATATTTTTTATTCCGCCTGGCAAGCTCTCAGAGTGTTCTTTTTTTGCGTTCCTTTTTTAACCCAATCAAATCCATCTCAAGTTCGGGAAAGGAAGACGCTGTATGGAGGACGAAGCGTGATATGAAGTGATTGTTTTTGTTATCTAAGTTCTGTTGTATTGGCGAGGTCTGCAGGTAAAAAGTTCATCTCATCTGACGCAAACGAGTATGGATCAATACTGGCAACATAATCCATGTGCTTTTATAACTAACATCCCACAGAAGACGATTACAGCTTTAGCCGCGTGGGCCAAGTAATAGTTGTCGTTTTTATTTCTTTGACACAGGGTGTGGTCACGTATCACATGACTTCCAGCTTTTTGTCCGAGGGCGCATGCCTGGATAACAACCATTCACATTTCATCCTTGTTGATGATGGGAGAGAAGGAAAATATGGAGGGGAAATCCCATTTCGTGCCAGCCTTCAAAACTGCATAACAACGAAAAAGATCTCCAGGAGTGAGTTAATTTATTTAAAATACAAGTCAGATGTTGCTTTAATTGCAAGAGAACTAAAAGTAAAAGTCGAAAAAAATTAGTCCAGCACGAACCGAGCGAGGGGGTTGGGGTTAGGGTTAGGGTTTTTCAGCTCACAAATATGTATTAAGTCATCGCAGATCGAATGTGAAACACGAGGTGAACAAAGGCGTATTGGAAAAAAAATTAAAAAAAATCAATGACAAAAACAAAGGGAACATTAAAGCCTTTGTTTTCTCGCAAAAAGTTGACTCGTGGACTATTAGTGATCAGAGTAAGATGGCTTCTGCGCAACCGACTCTACCAACTAACGCCACCGGGAAACAAGACAAACGCGGAAGTTGCAGTTTAATGGTTTTTCATTTCTCATAACAACTTGTTCAATATTTGCTCAAATTAGGGTTAGAAAGGACTCCTCACCCTTGCTCTTTTGTTTTTCAGGTAAATCGCATGGTATCCCTGTGGTGCTACTTGTTCTTGAGGGAGGTCCCAACACGATTCTTACGGTGTTGGAATCTGTAACGAGCTGTCCAGCTGTGCCTGTCGTCATTGCCGAGGGCAGCGGTAGAGCTGCAGATATATTGGCGCATGCGCATAACCTAGTCTCCTCGAATGACAGGTGTGTAATGGAATTTTGCTTCCACTTATGTCATATGAATCTTTTACTGATATTATTATCTGACACTTTATGCCAGGAAAGGCCAATTTAGGCGATAATTCTTTTGTAGGCCATGGCTTACTACGATTTTCTTTCCTTTGCTGATACTCCTCAAAAAGTAGATATCATTCATCTGGCAAAATAATTTTTTTGCGTGTTTTTCTTCTCCTTCTTCTTCTTCTTCTTCTTCTTCGTCGTCGTCGTCGTCGACATTTATCTTCTTTACAATTTTGCATGAAATAGCGGTTACGCCAAACATGTACACACCAAACTGTTGTTCATAAGGTTTTTTTTAATTTCACCTTCCTTTATTTTAAAGCACTGACATGGAAGACATGGCGGACGTTGTGGAACATCATCAGCTCTTAATGAAAATTCAGAAAGCTTTTCCGGAATGTAACGAGCAGAAATGCCTGTCTGTTTACCGCGATGTGCTGAAATGCGTGGGAAATAAGAGATATGTAAGTTGACCGAGATACACAACTCACTGTAGTTATATATTGAAGTAAGCACAAACCGGCTTGACGCAGATCACAAAATATTAGTAGGTTCTGAATGTAAGATTTGATTTATTAGTAGGGTACTTATTATCGCGAAAGATAATCTAGTTTAATTTTATCGGGCTGATTTAGGAACCCACTCTCTAAAAAACAATAATCATATAAACTGGAAATATAAACTCTTCTTCTGACGAATTTTCGTCCCCACGGGAACAGATTAACACTTATGACGCCATTGTGAAAGATTTGAACCCAGGAGTCATTTCATAAGTCGATGAAGCATGATCGTCTGGGTGATCGTAGTCCTGAATAGGACTGCTGTTGAGAGTAGCCCTGAATTGGGTGGGCCTGAAACCAAAGATCCCATTGAACTTGCTCCCAGGGATACGAGTCCGCTTTAGTTTGCCGGAAATAACGGAACTGTTCATCATACCAGCGCCAATAGGCTGAGCGGTTAGCTAAGTCCTTCAACACGTCGCAAAATTTTAATAATGTTGGAGCCAAAGACGGGTATTTGATGGAATAAACTGCGGCAAAAGTATTAAAAGCCGTTGACCACTGGTTAAAAGTAGCGATTCGTTTTGGTTTGCGAACAGGCTATAAACATAATTTAGCGTGCCCGAGATCTTGTTCACTAGAAACAGAGACCGAGTATCTGGGGTCTTCATGGTTGGTTAACAAAAGTAGCCCGAAATCTAAATATTCATTGCGCCAAATCTTAGCCCTAAGTTTGTCAGGCACGCGTGATTCCAAATGAATCGCTACGGTTTGAAAGGGCTTGCCTAACGGAACTTGCAAGGTAGTTTGGTCACCTTCTATGATGTCGGTGTTTTCCTGCTGGACCACTAAGCATGTAGAGGAAAGGATTTGAGGGGCTTCAATAGTGATTACATCTGTATTCGGAGTGGTGGGCTAGGGGATGACGCTAGTAGCGTGTAGGTTTTGCAACACTGAAGCGGTAATGGTGGATCTGAGCTGTGCTGAGTGACGGTTGTTTGCGCTGAGCTTTTCGGTGGTCCTGCACTAACTGCCGGGAATGGGGGAACCTCTTCTGCGTCATGAATAAGTGATTGCGACGGTGGGACCGGCAAAGTTGGGGTCGAATTCTGTGAAGAAGGACTGGCGTTGCGGGCACGCTTTGCCCTTGTTGAAACACGAGCAGACTGTGAGACACGAAAAAAAGAAATACAGTAATGCACGACATTAGTGCTTGGTATAAAAGGAATCTGCTTTTTGACTAGTCATATTTTCACTGATAACAAATTTCATTGGTTAATTGATAAAAAAATTGTGGTTTCCGGTGAGAAAACTCATATCTCTCTAACATCTGTGGGCATGCTAGGCTAAAGAAAAGAACCTGGACTGACGGGCTGCAATAATGTCCCTTTAAAATTAATTGGCGAGGTTGGCGGTCATGAACGAAAAAGATGACATTTACATTCCTATTAACGGTCTGAGTGCAACGAGCTCACTACCAGAGTTAGCCCCCCAAAATAGTGCACTTTTACACCGTTAAGTCAGCAATTCCTGGTAATAAATCGATGAAAACGTTCTTTGAAGCGACTTAAGGACTTACTAAAAACAGGGCGCCATTAGGCGACCCATGATTAACGCCCATTAGGGCATGTCAAATAATGCAGACAAAATCAGGGTCAAAAAGTAAAGCTGACCACCAAACCAGCAGGTATATATACGTTAGGGGACGATAAATGTGAATGTGACCGTCTAGGAAGGGTGTCGAGCCCATGTGCAAAGAGAGAAAGAATTTGTCACCGCCTTCTCAATCTCCCGCAAATCTTCGTCAACTCTTTATTACTACTGTGAAAAAGGACCCCACCTCCTAAAAAAACAGGTTAGACCAATTGTGCTAGAACTAAAAAGCCTACTACAAAATGACAGTTCTTCTAAGACATTGATAAACACACAATTAGGTCAACAACCCTGACGTTAAAGATGAATCATTCTTATCGAAAGCGCCGATGCCAGTTTACAAAGGCATAAGGCGCCGCCGAGGAATCGGTTGAAATAAACCGAGACAAAAAGAGATTACAGCCAAGTTGGCAAGATAGAACTGGAGAAGGAAAGAAATTACAAATATACTTGCCTGAAAAAGGAGATGGCCCAACTCAAAGTCACCGAAGTTTCACTCGAAGGGCACGAGTTGAAGGGAGAAATGACATTAGTGGTGTCCACCTTTTAAAGAGGAGAAATATGATATACACCTCACGTGTCTAAGTTCTGAGAGACGCAAAACCCTGCCTCGTGATCACTTCATGATAAGTCAAATACGTAAACTTGGCATTGCATAAATACCAATTATCCGTACTTAATAGTTGTTGCTTTTTAGTACATTAAAAGCACACTCTGGTAGACGCTTTTGCGAAAGAGGGGCTATTTTGTCACTTCTATACTACTAAAGTAAAAAGTAAATTGGTTAATAGGAAGGGTGGGTGGTAGCAGAAGCTCAAATTGATCGACCGCAGTAGTAAGGTGTTCAATGAATTTCCAATCGTTAATGTAGTTACTAAATATATTTATGAAATACATATACCTCCTTTAGATCACAATATTTCGTATGGATGAAGACGGTATCAACATTGACAGAGCGATATTGAGAGCTCTTTTGAAAGGTCAGAGAAAACTTTGCTTATCTACTTCATACCATTTACAAGCCTAATTAGGGTCTGCTGTTAATTGCTAGTGCCAGATCGTAACTCAGGCCTAACCCTGTACTTTCTAAGCTGTAACCATCAGCACTCAACTGCAGTGTCTTTTAAATGGTTCTACACAATAGACTCAAAATAGCAACTTCGCTTCGCTGCCAAATTAGCCTCAGAGGTAACAATACGTCATCCTTAAAAGTATCATCCCGTAATATCGACTAACAGATAAACGAAATTACGAAGTGATTTCGGTGCAAGATTTGCTTTGGTGTAAGAGGAATGCAAGTCGATGACAGTCGAGCAATGTTGCCATTAAAAATATCCATCTAATAAGGCCTTAATAACCGCTGTTTGAAAAATAAGTTGTTGTTGTTGTTTTTTTTTTCACAGCACAAAATGCATCTGCAGCGGACCAGCTGAGTTTGGCTCTGATATGGAATAGAGCCGACATTGCCAAAACAGAGATCTTCACAGATAATCAGAAATGGGAGGTAAATCTGTACTATGGCAAATCTCTAAAGTAATAAATGTATGCTTTGAAAAAATGTAAACATTGCAAAAGATACAAATCTCTGTTTAAAGTGGACGTGCAAGTAGCTGCTCTAGCTAGTTGACAGACACTTATGTCTAAAAATGCAAGTAATTATGCTTAATGAATATAACGTGGATGAAAATGACCCAAATTGCAAGAGCAGAGCGGAAATGGCCTATTCCAGTGGTAGTCTGAGCGTCACTTGAATTGCAAGCCCTAAGCACTGGCCAATCGGCGACGCAGTCCCTAGCAGTAGACAGAGTGTCTTCGAAGTTTGAAATAGAAATTTAAACAATTTAACAACAGGCTGACGGTGCCGCACACTCCAATTTCAAGGAAAATGCTTCATTTCATGTTGAATTTGACTGAAAAACAGATTGCACTATGCGAACTTTTTTCCATAAACAAGTCATTTGAATGGTATCAACACTGGCTTTTTCCCAGTTCCAAATGCTAAAAGTGAATTACGTTGACTCTCGCAGCGTGGAAACCCCAAAAGTAACTTACCCCTGGGTTTTTCGTGTCTAAGAGATTTTTCTTCAAATTAAATTATGTTCGTTTTCTTGTCATGGTTAACAACAGTTAGAATCCTTGGAGGATGCTATGATGGATGCTCTGATCAACAATCGTGTGGAATTTGTGAAACTTTTGTTAGAGAAGGGCATCAGTATGGGCAAGTTTCTTACTACGACTCGGTTGGTGGAGCTTTACGAGGCGGTGAGTGTTAATCTAAGGATCCGGATCAGGATCAGTTATCCGATTTCTCTCGGATCAAAGCACATCAAAGGAACCGACGAATCAACACCAAGAAAGGATTCATCGGTTCATTTGATGCAGCACGATCCGAGTGATCTCGGATGACTGATCCTGTTCCGGATTATCTCAAAGCAACGCACCCTAAAAGTCCTTAGGTTTCTGATGCTTAACGTCATGGCAAGGTTTACTACCTCAGGGCATAACCACTCAAATGATGCCAAATCTACCTTTCATTCAGTAACATAATGAGTGCAGATATTAGACTGAACGCCCACTGACAAATTTGACTCTTAACAGCAGACGAAATGTAGCGACCAATAGCTTACTTAGTCGCTACAGCCAAAAACTTATTGCTTACTTTAAATGCTAACAACAGCAACATGTCGGGGACTACCCACTGACACGCTTGCAGACATAGAGATAGCTTCTCAATCGTTTGCCCACCAATCTATCATACTGATGGCTTCAATTCACTTGATTCTAGTAATGTTGAGACGCGACCATACTTACCAGATAACTGCCAGGAAGGTTTACCGGATTATTTTCTTACTTTAACTTGCGTATGTGAACGTTTTCAGAAATACTGTTTTTCATTTCTCCTCTTTATTTCAGAGGTGGCATTTTGCGTCAAGTGTTGTCTTCAGACAAGTAGTTGGCAGAGACAAGGTGAAAGTGAAAGTCTATTTGTTTTTAGAGGGGATAATGAAATGAGGTGTATTTTGTAAGATGAATAAAAACTGAATGGCTTTCCAACGTCAAATCCTGTGTAAGGAGCCCATGCTACTTTTTGGTTTGCTCTTCGGCTTTATCTTACGTAAACATCAAAGGCAGATCCAGAGCTAGAAGTAAGGGTGACGGAAGCCACTTTAATTGGAGCCTCGGCCCTGTGGCCTCGTTTTGGGTCTACGAATATTTGTATAGGTAATAGCATGATTTGTAGTGGTATTTATGCCAAATATCACGTACAAAACATGCTATTATTTGTTTATACTACTACCCGCAAAAGGTTTGTAATTGTCACATGTAGGTATTTCAAATTAAGCTGAAATACCACTGCTCTAAGCCAATCAAATTGCAGAAATTTGTCATGTAGTAGTATAAGTGGGGAAAGGGCCACTGAAGATAGTCTGAAATTCTCAGTGGAAGTAAATAACATTGCCATTCTGCAAAGGCAGTGCAGAACGTTAGTCGTCTTGTTCACGCGAAGTACACCTTATGCAATCTGTAGGTGCTTTGTGTGCCCCTCAAACATGGTTTTATATTTGTCGTACATCTTTCCTTTTACTGTGTGTAGGGTGAGTGTGGATTAACCCTTGCTGATGTTAACAGTGCAGTCAGACGGTTGTTAGGAGCTACCTATAAAGGACATGGCAAGGATTATAGAACTCTTAGAACGGTACATGTACATATTGGATTTCTTTGTATATTTAATTGACAACGTACGACTTGTTTGAAGACAGGTGCTGTATACGCACGATCTTACAGAAGTTTATTAAAGAGCAAAGAGGCTTCAAATGATAGTTCACTTATATTAGCAGCCTGGGGGGAACGTGAAAGAGGTTCTCAGTTTTATTTAGTAAAATGTCGCGTAAAACGTTTACAAAAAATGTTTATACGTACATTCAGGAACAGAAAGGATCTTCAAAAAGGGAAACTTTGGTTTCGCGGGATAAATTTGTTTTCCTTGAAACTCTCTACAACTTAATGTTTCTCTTTTTATTCCTTGCTTGCCCCTTGCCCGATAATTTCTTTTTTTCCCTTTTATTCTCTTCTTTTATTTCCTTTTAAAAAGTTTCTACGTAATTATGTATAAGTTAATGAAACGCAATAAAGTTGTTTAAATTCTAAATTAGTCCTACTACTTGCTTTGTGGCACAGGCTCTAGGTTATATTATATTTGAAAAAAAAATCTTCATATAATTTACCATAAGACGCTGTGTATCATGTAAACTTATGTTATATTCTTGCGTTTCTAAGGCTCTTGGTATGGCTAACTCCAAGATGTTTGTGGATGGACACGTAGACAAAATGTCGGATGCAAATTATGTGTCCAGCCCTTACAAAGAGTTGCTTTTGTGGTCCCTGTTGTGCAACATGCAGAAAATGGCACTCTTCATGTGGGAGCGAGGCGAAGAAAATCTAGCGCGGGCGCTAGTGGCGGGAAAACTGTTGAACATGATGGCGAAGCTTAGTGAACGAGATGACGCTAAGGCAGACGTCACTGACGAACTTTACGGGCATGTCGAGTAAGTTTGACAACATTTCTTAAGTTGCAATCCAAGATGGCTGTGTCAGCTGACATGTTGTCCAATTGTATTATTATTATTATTGACTGAAGAAGGAATTACCCTAGGCTCAAGTATAGTAAAATTTCCGTCGACAATTCTTCTAAACTAAAAGCAGTTACTGGTCCAGGGTCTCACCAGTTACTATTTCCGTTTAGTGAGTTCAAGCGAATGGCCTTGGGTTTACTGGATCAGTGCTTTCAAACAAACGAAGAGCTTACGCAACAGCTTTTGACATACAACTTGGAGAGCTGGGGCGGGCAGTCCTGTCTATCTCTTGCTGTCGCCATAGAACATGAGGAATTCTTAGCACATGTTAGTTGCCAGACCCTTCTCACTGAAATATGGACGGGTGCTATGAAGAGTGCGCATCGATCGTCGATAAAGGTAACTGTGAAGTTCCCTAGTTGCACTCCAAACTCCAAATGATATTTTCCTTTAAGATATGTGTGTTCCATTTCTGCGGCCTCCGCAGAGAGAGGCTGTAATTCATGTTTAAATTTGTAAGTGGAGTGGGTATTTTCCTCTCGGAAATTCCTTTTTTCCAAGAAGATCCTTCCTTCCTTAGAGGTCGCCCATTTGCAAAGATTAAATTAATCTTTCCACTTACATTCCAACCAAAATGTCCTGCTTTTTTGTTTGAGTAGTCGGTAAACTTCAAGTGTAACGTAATGGATTAACTTGTAATTCTTTTGTAATTAATATCAGACCATGATGGGACTTTTGTTTCCACCATCGATATTTTTCTTGGAATTCAAAACAAAGAGAGAGCTCTTGTCAATGCCAGTGACTTTAGAAGAGCACGAACAAAGCGTGGTCGAGATGGAAGAAGAAGGTGACAGCGCAAAAGAAAATAAAGCCTTAAGATATAGCCGCACCATAACCGAAGGTAGCAGAGGAATGGAACTCAGGTGAGTACGCAAAAAGTTGCACGCAGACTTGTTCAAAGTGGTTACACACGAATGTACTTCGAATCTTGCTGTTGCACTTTATAACAAAGTGCCCATTTAACAGATTCACAGTGAAACAATAGGGCCATTTATACGAGGAAAAATAAGACGCGAACTGTACCATTTATACGAGCATGTCTTGTCTAATAAGACGCGTCTTAGCTAAGCCGCGTCTTATTTTACACGAAATGTGCCGTTTATACGGAAAGTTCACGTCTTATTTAAGACGCGTCTTATTTTTCCTCGTATAAATGGCCCAAATAATCAATAGGGCCCTTAAAGGGTGAACGCGTAAGAAAGGTTAGTTGTACGGAAGGGGTAAACGATTTCCTGGGACTTTAAGAAAGTACAGCTTCATATAAGGTAACCTTATAATACATATGTGCCCCTTACAGGTTGGCTTTGCTTTCCATTCATAAACAGGGTTCGTGCAGAGTCTTGAATTTTTGAAAAAGTCTTGAAATTTGCCCGGCAATTATCTAGATCTGGAAAAAGTTTGGAAATAGAGATAAATTCTGGAAATATGATAAAAAGTCTTGAGTTTTTTTTTTCTTTTTTTCAAAGCTACAACAAGTGCTATATAAGTGAATTTTTTTTTCGTTTTAGTAGAATCTCATTCAATCTCGCCCGTACGTTTGCAGTGAGTTGTGAAGCTTTGTTCCTGCCCTTTTTAAAGTCTCTGTTGATCACCTATTGATGATAACCTCGAGACTGGCAAAAAAAATTATTGTTGTGGAAAATGTCTTGAATTGTGAATCCAAAAATCTGTACGAATAAAGCAATTGACAAATTCTAGCACCAAAAGTCGTATTTTCTTTCATGAAATTGAAACCCATCATCCCATGATTAAGAGGGAAAGATTATTCATGTCCCCTACCTTATTTTTTAAGAACATTTTCAGAGTCAAAGTTCAGATCAGCCTCTTCAATACCACGGGATTTTCGCAGGATTCCCAATCACCAGGACTGGAGACAAGAAACTCGTGTTGTGCATTTGCGCTGGGGAAAGAAACTACTGGAGTTCTACAAGGCACCTGTTACTAAATTTTGGTCCAACGTGGTGAGCACATTAAAAGTGACGTAGTTAACGCCAATGACCAAAAAAATATAAATTATTCACGCTGCTAAACACGGCCATTTTATGGGCAATAAAGGAATTTGTGGTGCAATGATTGTTTGTGTAGACGTGAAACAACTGGTTTACGCTGGTCGAAATCTCAGTTGATCGTGCAGAAAAAAAGCATTTCATGGGCATAGCTGGAAGGATCCTAGGATACCTGTGACCCCCCTTTGTGAGACAACATAACATCTATGCGACTCAGTATTCACTCCGCCTCTTACTAACAGATATTTTGACTGATTAGCAGTGAGACTAAAATAGATAAAATTAATGTTACATGGAACTTAATTCATCATTGCAGCTATGTTGATGTTGTAGGCTTGTTCCTCTCCCAACGCTCATTGCTCGTCCGAAAAAATGTCACTTTTTGAAAAACACAGCGTGGATGTCGACATGCCAGTCTGCTAAGCACTCCGGGTGTGACACAGTGTTATCCCCCCTTTGAAAAATCCTAGCTATGCCTCTCAATTCTAATATCTAACATGAGTTCCGGCTGCAACTAGGAAAAAATTGCAACACAGCCCAACCATCCCTGGTAGGATACATTTAATTACGCCGGATTTTCGGATGATTCTGGAACATTATGGTAGGCAACGAATAAAAATGCCAGCTATTTCAAGTAGGTGAGAATGTCCTGGATTTATAGAATTCAAGACTGAGAATTTACAAGCACAGTTGCTGAATTCCGGCAGTCAATAGAGGTGTCATGTCAATCGAGGAATGAAGTGTTATAAGCCGCGGTTTAAACTGACCCATATAATTCGAGTATTCGGAAGACAGCGTAGAGGCTTATCAGCTCAATGGAAAGGCGGTCAAGTGATAGTTGAAAACTCTTCATATTGGGTTTTGCTCAAGAAATCATACATATATGTCCTAGAAAAAGGTTCATCGTTTTGGAACAATAATAGGGAAAGTTGTCGATCCTTCTCACCATGTATTCATTTGAGATGAGTAAATCGCAACGTTTCGACAGTGCTTAACTAAGACGATGCTAAGACGATGAGTTGCATGACCGACCATCGTGATACAGATGATGTACTGCGTAATTATTACTAAACACCTCACTATAAGTGGATACATTGTGAAAATAAAGAATGGTTTGGTTTAGTAAAATGACCAAAAGTATATCCGTCACAGGTGGAAATTAAATTCAGGTTACATCTAGGATGATTCTCTTTTGTCTCCTAGCCCTGATTCATGACTAATTAGGGCTAGGAAACAAAGGAAATTGAGAATCAACCTAGGTTTAAAATTGTAACCTGAATTTTACTTTGACCGGTAGCATATCCCCTAAAATAGATCCACGTAGTTTTTAATTTATGTTTTTTCTTTTGATTTGCTTTCAGTTTGCTTACATGGTTTTCCTAGCCCTCTTCAGTTATGTTATTCTTATTCGTCAAGATAAAATCCCTTCCATCAGCGAAATGGTGCTCATCATCTTTGTTTGCACACTTTGTACCGAGGAAATTAGACAGGTATTTAAGCCGCGATTGAATTTGACCTTCGAGCTTGAAGCATCAAAATTTAGACTCCTGCGTGTATGTTTTCTACGCTTGACAATTGGGCATTTATTACTTGTCTTGTGTACAGTACACTTCCTACATAAACGTGAATTAAGGAAGTTTCAGGTCTCAGTCGTGCAGTGATGACTAAGAAAAGAACCAAATGGTTTAACCTGTTCTGCAGACTTTGTTTTTTTGCTTATTAAACTCATTGCCTTTTTGGGGTCCTCCTTGTCATTTCGTTGTCGTCGTCGTTGCGTAAGCTCCCTAATGCGTCTTATTGGACAAAACGTGTCATACGTTATGCCGGAAATTGTATGGAGCTTAAGCAAAGACGATTTTGAGCTACACACGTCAGCCGGAAGTGAGGCATTTTCTCTTTAAAATGCTTTCGCGCTACCAAGTTTAAAAGCCGTGTGTGGTTATTCACTTACCGTTGAGAAACAGGCGTGTGACGGTGCATTGAACCACACCTCTGGAAACAGGTTAACTTAAAGAGAAGCTCTGGCAATTTAAGGCTAACTGATGAGGTACGTTTATTTTCCTAAAACTTGAAGTTAAGCCAATTTTTTGAAATGTTACTTTTCTAGATACTGCACTCAGAACCACCAACACTTAAAAATAAATTCAAAGAATGGGCCTCAAGTAAATGGAACATTCTCGATGGTTTCGCTGTGGTATCTTTTTTCGTTGGTCTCGGTCTCAGGCTTTTCCCAGTGACACGTAGTGCAGGTCACGTGGTGTACTGCTTTGATGTCATGTTGTGGATTGTCCGCCTGCTGGACATTTTTTCTGTCAGTAAACACATGGGACCTTACGTGGTGATGATTGGAAGGATGGTAATTATATTTTGTTACGATTTAGAGGATGGTTCGTTCCGAGTGAATTAAAATGATCGGGCGACTGTCACCTTAATTTGACGGGCATGCTCGTTATAAAATTGTAAATATACCCCTACGTGAGACCAATCTGGACGTATTGTAAGCTTCCATTGACCCCTATCTGCTCAGGCACAGCCCTAAGAGATAAACTAATTAATGGGCAAAATATAGAAGTCCCGTCCGGAACACCCGGAGTGTAGCCTGAGAAAAAAGCCAACAGTGTGCCAATAACAACGGTGTAAAGAAGATAAAGTCTTCTTTTGGGGGTTACTCTAAACTACTCTTATTTGCAATATTCTATTACACCAAACTTTTTGTTAAAAGCCTGGTGAGCCTTGTAAAGCCCGGTTGAACCAAACTTACCAGGTGTTTGAAATTAAAAGCAAAATTAAAAGCCTGAGTAAGTGTGGTTTTATCATGCCTTTGAGGTACGCCTCGTTGAAAATTTACCTCATGTGTTTCATAATGCCATTGTGATTGGCTTTTGGTTACTGATTGCTCACTGAGACAAGAAACATTTTAAGTTACATTTTCTCTCAGACTATAGACATGCTGTACTTTCTCCTTATTATGGTCATTTTCCTTTTGGCTTACGGAGTCGCCCAACAAGCTATCCTGCACCCAAACGAAGAACCGTCATGGTCTGTGGTGTCTGGGGTGTTCTTCAGGCCTTATTTTCAAGTCTACGGAGAGCTGTTCGTGGAAACACCTGACACAAGTAAGCACGGTTTGTTCAGTCTAACTACTCAGGCTTGTGAGAATTCTTGAAGTTCCCATTCCCTGATGCAACATCAGGAATTTGGTTTGGTTCTTAAATGAAATTATGACGAGTTTTTCTAGTTTACTTTTCCTACATCTCACCAACGTCCCGAATAGAAGGTCAAGAGGAACGACTTTGTCATAAGAAATTCAAACATTGCGGCCTTTTGAAACATAATCAGGATTTTCATGTTTGGAAATAAAAATCGATTTAGACCCTGAAATGTATTATGTCAGATATATCAAATAGTCAAATATAAATATCAGATAGTCGATCGCCTGGTTTGAAATCATGAACCTACGATTTAAACATTGGAGGCAACTTTTAGATCAAAAGTTATTATGTTTTCAAACAAATTCGTGAATTTATTATTTGAAATCAAAGTTTGTCAGTGATCTAGGATAATCTGCTTCGTCATGATTTAAAGCATAAATGTCACCATTTGAAGTCACAAAAAACAGTCTCGTATGAAATCATGTAAAACTAAACTAACAACCTTTTTTGCAAATAAGGTCCCATGCATTAACTGGTTATAGAGACGATTTGTTCAACAGGCTTACAGCTCCTAGCACTTGTTAAATGACGTAAAACATTTCGGGGAGCAATGGGGAGGGGGGGCAGTAGTGGTATGAGCACAGGCCTCCCAACAATGTGGCCGGGTTCAAATCCCAGCATCGACGCCATGTGTGGGCTGAGTTTGTTGTTGGTTTTTTCCTTTCCTCCGAGAGGTTTTTCTCCGGGTACTCCGGTTTTTCCCCTCTCCTCAAAAAACCAACCTTTCCAACTTCCAATTCGACCAGGAATGGTAAACAGAGAACCACTATGTGGATGTGCTATCTCTAAATCATTATTTATTTTATTTATTCTTGATTTATTTAACAATTAGTCGCCGAATGCGATGTGAATATCAGCGAATAGTCACCGAGACGAAGTCGAGGTGACTGTTCGCCGATATTCAGGTCGCCTGATGCGACTAATTGTTTTAGTATAATTACATTGATGATTATTCGAGAAAATAAAATTATTGATCAATTTCCAACTCCGAAACATCAAAAAATCTGGCTGCCATTTTGAAAACTGCTAGCTTTCAATGTTATAATCACCGCGCGGTGATTATAGTGGGATGAAGCGAAGCTGCTAGCCAATCATAGCGCTCTATTTTCGACAATCATCAATGTAATTATACAAAAAAGGAATAGGATACTGATCTAATTTGCGTGATTTCATTTCAGTTGACAACAACACAACTCTTTTCGGCACCGCAAGAAAAGACGAGCACGCAGACATTATAGTGGCGTTTATCGTGGCTTTTTATCTGCTGGTTGCCAATATTCTTCTGCTTAATCTTCTTATTGCCATCTTCAAGTGAGTAACAGCTAGTGATTTTTTTACAGATTCGGCATCGTATTAGATGTGAAGGCTTAATTGGAGGGTGTGTTATTTCTCGTTTCTTGGGTCTCAGCATGGCGTACCACGTGACCGACCAGCTGCGGCTGGGTCTATATTGTCCATTCTTTTTACCTATGACGTCACATAAGACAAAAAGTTACGTCATTAGACACCCAAGAATCCTGCATATTTGATCAACCCGAAATCCAGCCGTCTTTAATTTTACCTCGCTGCATGCTATTCCACAATCCACATTCACCTAAATGACTTTACAAAACGATTATTTGATAAAAAAGAAAAAAATTAACCGTGTGTCTTGTTTTTATTCTTCAGCAACACGTACAACAGCGTGCAAGCCAATGCAAATCAAATTTGGAAATTTCAGAGATATTATCTGGTTATGGAGTATGCGCAGAGGCCAGTCTTGGTTCCACCCTTCATTATATTGAATCACGTGATTCATCTGATAAAAGGAATATATAGACGGCTTAGAAAATGTTGCCGACATAATACGACAGATCGACAAGACTCTACCCGCTCATACGGCTTAAGTATGTGTATTGTTTTGAGAAGGCTTTCTGTCGTATCATTGTTGGACCTTTCTTAATAAATTATTCGGATCATTTTACGTTTCTGTGAAACTGCTCACCTACCCCTCTCCTAAACCAACATTAACACTTAGTTCTTTTTTAGGGCAAAATGTTTGCTAAGGGGAGAGGCAGGTGGGCAGTTTTCCAGGAACGTAAAGTGATCCAATTATTCTTACTTTGGATTTGCCGCCTTGATTTGTCGTATTTTATTTGTTGCTGATTAAATCATACTGTCGTGTTGCCATACTGGACTACACCATGAATGTGAAATGCATTTTCACTTGTCTGGTAGTGGTTGTGTTGTACTGACGTGTACTGTATTGCAAACACAATGAGCGATTTACAATAATTTGGTAGTTAATCAATGGTACGTACTACACTTGTCAGACGGAGATACATTTAGCCATGTTTGCATTTCGCTTGTAACTAACCATTACCCGCTATGCTAATCTGTTAACGCTTTAGGTTGAGACAGATTCCCTCTGAACAACCACACGTAGCTTTAAGTAGCTTCAGAATACAGCTGCGTTGTTTTTAATTTCGCTACAAAATGTCAAAGAAATTTGTATATTTTAAATTTGATGTAAGTAACTGTCTCATTTCCTTGTAGAGCTTTTTCTTGGAAGGGACGACCTTCAAAAAATGTCCTTGTTTGAAGAGCGATGTGTAGATGGTTACCTCAGGGAGAAAGATACCTTGCTACACGCCACACAAGAAGAAAAAATAAGGGTCATTGGAGACAGGTGCGATTAGTTTTAAACAATTACAAAGGGCAGGGAAAGGGAAACCTAGCCATCAGCATCTATACTGTTTATTAGTAATTTTAATCCATAAATAGCACCAGTACGTATATACCAAGCCTGAGGAAATTGGCTTTTTGTGCGCAATATCCTGAATGTTCTGTGCGATTTAACTCAGGGTGTGTTCCTTTCGGCGAAACCAAAAACGGATTTTAGATCTTAATACGGATCTTGCGTTAGTGAGTCCAATTCAAAAAAAATTCGTTGGATTTGAAATCAGAAGAATTCAAATCCACTTTTTTCACAATGGATCCGAAATTAGTCAGATTATCCAGCTGTGTACGCGAGTAGAAATTCCTCTTTGCTGCCACTTGCCGTAAAGCATTTGAAAACATGTGGAAGATTCCTCTCGGGACAAAATATCCATTTATTAACCATTTGTCGTCAAAAATGGCTGAAAAACACAAATACGTAAAAGGGACAAGTGAACTGCAATCCTTCTACAACTATACTTGCAGACGCGATAGGCACTCGAAGGTGCTATATAAAAGAATCCGACCTTATCTGAAAAAAATTAAGACTTGTGATTCACTTTTAGGTAGGCCTTCCACCCTGTTTAGGCACATTAGGCAAGCCCGGGTCACCACACAGGCAAGCCTTGCAGGAATTCAACTGCTCGTCTTGTCACTACTTGACGAAAGCGGCTTAGCCGACAACCTCTACATAGTTTCATCTCTAAAGCGCCTCCTTCTCTGTTTATGTTCCATTCCGTCGTCACTATTCAAATTGCCGATCACAGAATTCTGCAAGGTATTATCGCATAATTCGTCAAACAGACCGTCATATTGAACGCGTTTGCGAGAACACTAAGGTTACAGATCCAATTTCGGATTTAGCATTCCTTTCGGACGCGAAACCGGGAAAATTTAGGATCAAAAAACCGTTTTTGGATTCGCCGAAAGGAAAACACCCTGAGTATGGTAAAGATTATTTAATAAATTGGATTTGAATCTTAAGGTAATTGCCAATAATCCTTCGAGCATGGTGTAATGAGTCTTTTGCACGTTATCAAAAGAGATCTTTAAGGCTTTTTCATAGTTGAAAGTTGGTTAGTTGCTGATAGATATTCCTGACAAAGAATATCCAGCCGAATTTTTGATAACGTTATCGCCAAATGGAGCTTTTGCGTCCAATAGTTTTTTTCGGCCAAAACCATCTCCAAATTAGCTATTATAAAAACTAAGAGTGCAGCCATTGCTTTTTTCTCTTCTCCTCCTTTCCTTCTCCTCCTTTCTTTCTCCTCGCTCTTTCTTTTTTCTCCTTTTCCTTCGTTACTATGATTTTGAAGCTTCTCGGGCTTAAGAAACCTGCCTTTTGACGCCTTTCACTCAACTGACTGCAAATTTCGTTAGGTTGGGTATCTCTATTTAGTAAAATCCAACTAGTGGTCTATTATCAATGCTGCATTCTGATTGGTCCAGCTACTACTAGGCTATATGTTATAGCCCACCAGTAGCGAAAAGCGCGGGCTTTTTGGCGGCGAAAAAGGATTTAAGTCTAGCTTTAACTAGCTAAATTTTTTTTATTCTCGATATTTTTGACCAACTAGTTGGATTTTACTAAAACAATTATTCCTCTCGCCCTCATGACCTCTGAGTCAATAGCCCATGAGGCCGAAGGCCTCATGGGCTATTGACTCAGAGGTCATGAGGGCTCGAGGAATAATCGTTAAATATTTTGTTACTCTCATACTAACGATTGATTCTATTTTACTTCTATTATGTCACAGGATGGAAACTGTTTGTTGTCAACTGCAAGATATGTACAAGGAGTCCATCAGTCAATCCAACTCCAACAAAAAGGCGATTTCATCCCTGGATACTCGCCTAACAAAACTCGAAGAACACACGCACAGAATTGTGGGTCTGCTGGAGAGACTGCAAGTACTGATGCCGCCAGAAACCGAAACATTAACGAACAGTGACGAGCACAAAGAAACGGGTAGAACCGTTTCCTTATCGGACATTGAAGTTACAGGTACCTCTTCATTACATAACTGGGGCTGATAGTGGGCAAGGTGAAGCGAATCAGGTGTCCTCATTGGCTACCAGAGACAGAGAGCAGGACGAATCAATCATGCCTGCTCGGGATTGCTCGTTTTCTTTCCGAAAAAAAAATATTCAGGGTTCGTACAGGTCATGGAAAATCATGGAGTTTAGTATTCGGTCCTTGAAAGTCCTGGAAAATTTAAGTTTTGTTTGATAGATTAGTTACTGTCGATGACAAAGCAAGGACAATGTAAGATACGGGGAAGTGATTGAACTGCGCGAACGGCATGCATTTTGGTGGACACCAGAGTTTGTGTCTGTTGAACTGTTTAAGGTCCAAAAATACCCTAAAAAAAGGAAAGTGCCAGCTAAACCTAAGGTCTTGGAAAGCTTAAAAAGGTCATGGAAAAAGTCATGGAATTTGAAGAGCTCTAAAGAGTACGAACCCTGAATATTGCTTTTGAACATATAATATATACTTTATTTATAAAGCTTGTTTGGTCTAAAATATTGATCTCTTTTCTTGAACATTTGAAAAGTAGACATTAACTGTCTACAGTCCCTTTTTTTGTATAGCGTAGAAATTACGTCAAAATTTTCAAAATTCATGAGTGGTTTCACTACAAAGATTTTAAGTATTTCTATGGTATATTTAAGCAATAGAAAACGTTTTCCATGTTTGCATAGCCTGATATAAACACGAGAGGGGTTGGGAGAATTCGAGGCAGGTATGCAAATCCGAGACGAAGTCGAGGGTTTGCATAACCGTCGAGAATTCTCCCAACGCCTCGAGTGTTTATATCAGGCTATGCAAACACAGGAAAAAAGTTTTCTATTGCTTTTATAAAATAACTTTCCCTAGAAAAAAACGCAAAACTCTTTGTATGGCACTGATTAAAAGAGAAATTCTTACCAGTCGCAAAATCTTGTCCACGAAGTCTTGCACGCGTAATGAGTTCTTGTTTTGCAAAAAGATGCTTTGCAAAATACGGAGTTTTCTCGCTTAAAATGTCAGCTTAAGCGAAGAAAAATTGACTCACCTTCTTTGTAACGATTTTCCATGTTTCAGCCGACGAAGGAATGGGTAAATAAAGTAAACTTGTCGAGTTTTGAACTCGAAAACTTTTTCAAATTTGGTGCTTGCGTGATTAGCGCGCGAAAAGCCAAACAACTTGACGCCACAACCATGTTTACATACTCTCATGCAAACACTGCTCTCGGCCAATCAGAGCGCGCGTACTATCTTAGTTATTTTATAAAAGAGTGTATACAATGTATATAGTGACTGCTACAGCCTCTCTGATTGGTCGTTGCCCATGATCTATTCAACTAATTGATTCCATGTTGCCATGCACCTGTTCAGAAACAGATGATGGCCAAGTGTCTCACTGAATTTCTTACCACATTATGAAGTCTTCCGGGATCTAATACTGAGCAGACGGACCACAACATGTAATCTATTCATTTTATACAATGATCAGAAAGGGAAAAAAACGTCAAACTTGCCTTGTACCGCTTGACTGTTCGAGGATATGTGCCAGTTAAGGTATTTTCCAAGTTACAAACGGTACCTTTCGTCTCTGCTTATTCTCTTCATTTTTATCTTACTTGTAGACTGTTTTCACCCAAACGTTTTTCACGGCTTTCACTTGTTCAGTATATTAGCCGGCCTCGGGAAATTTTATTGTTTAGTGTTTAGAAAAAAATCGAGTACTTCATCTGACTTGAGTTTACTATACGTAGGGTCATCACATGCAGGGCGCAGACCCAGTGTTTCTCGAAGAGGGTCTGGTGGCACCGTATTTGGTACAGGAACTCGATTCAAATCACAGTCGGAGTCGGAGAAAGGTCCACTAACCAACCAGCCTGAACTAGGTGTGTTTCATTTAAACCTTTAGATTCGAGGACGAGAACGACTACGAGTACGATATTTGATTTAAAGTTTTTCCACGTAATCTCAAGAAATAGACACCCAGGAATTGTTCATTGTACCTTTTTTCACCAGAAAAGTTAGCACGGTTATCGTTATTGAAGAAGGTTAAGACCTCTCTCGATTGCAAAATGCTAAAACGTCTAACATTTGTTAACTTGTTTCCGCCACTACTATAGTGATGATAGTATGAAATTATTTTAATATTAATTTTGTTTTTATGTTTTATAGAGGGCCACAAGTTTATCGGTTTTTTCATAACTGTAACGTGTTTACCCTCTTTAGATAAAGGCGTTACCTAACCTTACCTTACCTTACTACGACACTCTCGCTAAAACTCGTAGTAGAATGACGACGGCTACCACCTCTTCCCGCCAAAATGACGCTGCCTGAGGCGCGAGCACTACTTACTATTGAGAAAATCTCGTACTCGTAGTTGTTCTCGTCTGAGAATGTAAAGCTCTCTATTAGTGTCGTCACCGAAAGTGAATGTGAAGATAGCACTGATTTTATAATTCGATCTAAGTGCAATTAAATTTAATTGCACGGATAATTTCTGTCAACAGTTTATTTTAAAATCGCTTAAATTTAAAAATGCAGGAGTTTTACAATCCACTTGTAAAGCGACCATGACGTCCGACTTAAAAATACCTTCACGTTGTATGGAAGCGTCGTAGCATTGGAGGTGATCTGTGGTCTCTTAAGTAATTCTTGGACGGAGATCTAGAGATCAAGGTGACGGTTTCTTCAGCGTCTACTCTTCCACGCAAGTGACTATCTAATATAAATGGATACTATTGACAAATTATTCAGGGCAGCCCAACGAAGGACTTGCATCTATTCCAGAAGGAGTGGTAGCCCTGGTTCCTTTGTGTTACAGTATTCAAAATATAATCAAGTCATATGGTTACCCTTTGACGGAAAATACATCCCTGCCAATGTCCGCGCGATCATGACATAGCCTACAGCTATAGATACAACTAGAGCACTTATCGAACGACTTTCTACGGAAGTGACCATTAGTATTGAACTTGACTGGATCCATATTCTTTTGGCGTCCACTAAATTAAATGAGACATGTCATTGCCTATTACATGTCAGACAAACTATTAAATCGATTAGTAATTTTAATCAGACGGCAAGGGTGTAAGTTGAGAGATATTTTGTCAATAAACGATTTCCATTTTCCACTAAAATCAGAGGAACACACCAGGAGACGCCTTTCGACTTTTGCCGCGCGAGCAAAGCAGACTGCAGCAAGGCGGAGTTCAAGTAACCAAAGTAAAAAGCATGTGAGAGCGAGGCAGTCACCCTATCCTTACAGCAATCAACAGCGTTATCCAGTACCGGACTTCCTTATTACCTGGCAGGTATGTACAAAACGAAGCAAAGGTAAAACGTCCTGAAAAATATCGACAATAAAAAAAGTAAATTAGAAGGCTTTGTTTCATGAAGTTTATCTCAAAATCAAGTTTGTATATCAAGATGATGTATATTTGTGACGTCACACTTGTCTTAAGGGCATGTGACAAGTCAGACCTTGCAGACGAAACCCAGACGTCGATTGAAAACAAATCTATTACTGACAATTACCAGTAACAACACCACGTTACTCCAAAAATAGGGTGGACGTACATAAAGCTTTTGGGCCAGTTATTTAAACGTAGTTTAGCCAGTGTTTAACAAAACCGCGTTCTAAGCCATTTTCAATCTGCCCAACGGTTTATCTAAACACAATTTATTGTGAACAGTTTTATAAAAGCATGTAGAGTAGACTAGAAAAGCATTTATCTTCTTAAAATAACGCACTAAGGAAGAGATCGGTCCAAAGATCTGTTAAACCGCGGCGTAAGTTAGACTTCGTTTAAATACCTGGCCCTTAATTTTTCTGTTTGTTTAAAGTGATGGCACGTGAAGCAAACATGTATGTCAACTTCAGTCATTGAAAAATGTCACCATCATTATTTTTGTTCTTTGAAGGGTGTATTCCCGGGTTATGATCCGCCATTATATACCGCGGTAGAAGTTCAAGCATCACTGTTATGGGCCGACGTTGACATTCTCCAGTAAGTTACGAAAGCGTTACTGCTATTTGTCGTTACAAGTGATCGTTAAATGTTTGTTCAACTTTGGATAAAGGAATATTCGGCGAATAATTTAAAAACCGTTTAAACTGGTCTGAGATAAATAGCTAGAAAGAAGCGTATTATTCCCAACCTCTAAGTCACATTTTTTCAGTGGTTTTATTGGCTCTATCGATTTACTGTATAATTCTACCAACAGTTCCTTTATTAGTAGAGTAGTATAGTAATGTTTTAGACCTCTTTTTTGCGTTGGACTACTTTAGCGCCGATGAATTTTGAAGACACAGTCTTTTGAATTTATCTCATGAATAAAATGCAGTGGAATGTACACTACCACCAGCACATTTCTACGGTTTTCCGTTCAACAGTACCACCACCACAACCACAGTGCTCTTGCTCTTCTCCATCCACTACCACAACTACAATTCTATAGTTTCCCCTCCATTCCTTCCTTTTCTTTCTTTTTATTGTTTTCCCTCTCCTCCTCTTCTTCCCACTAATCTCAAAGAAAAAGCTTGTTTTATATGCTAGAGACAATAATCAATAGCTCTCAAAAGCTTTTCGATCAAAAGACTTACAAAAAAACTGCTAAGTAGAACGGTAAAGATTTTTAGAGCCCCTGTGGAATTTCCTCCTCCTTATAGCTTAGGATAATGGCATTCAAAACACCACTGGCCAATCCAGTCCATCTAACAGAATCACACTCACCATATCAATAGGCTGTCTGGATTAACACTAACAGGATAAATTTTATTCTTAACTCTAGGAAGACAAGTTCAGCTATAATTTTTAATTGCGTCGAAAATGGGATCAACAGAAGAAGCTACACTGGGTTGATTGATGTGGTCGATCGGCTACCTAGGTAAGGTGACACTTTTGATGTAAAAATGTGGCCTGCGGGAATAGGAGACTTCTGCGCCTTTTCGCAGAGCTGGTTCATAATGTAACTATTTAGAGGCAGAGGGAACGAGCATTGTATAAGTCTGATTAATTCTTCCGCTTTTAGCTGCTTCTGACTCCTACAATCTGCTTTTCACCTCTGAGATCGTAAGCAATGGCGGGAAAATAGAAAAGTTCTGATTCTTTAAAAGACTGCGATTCCACTGAGTTAGTTTATGACGCCGCTTATGAATTCGCGTTTTGAGTTCTTTTTGGGCATAAACTCCCGGCTTCCGGTTTACATGCATTTGCAAAAACTCCGACTCCAAATTCTTCGGTCGTTAAAACCTGCCTCTATTTTTATGATCACGATGGCGATTATGATTTTGCGTCATTATAATCGCATGATGTTGATATAATAATAATGATGATCATTATTAAGCTTAAAGCTTAATAATGGCTTAACTGGGCTCATAATAACATGAGCATGGCAGTAATCTTACTTTTACATAATTTTCACGTGTGCTGGCTGCATGTAGCGTCAGCTGAATAGGAAGATACAAATCAGTAAATTCTCGTCGAATGACAAACTTCAATGTAAACACTTGTTTAAATTTGCCAATCCATTGCGATAAATATTATATCGCTGGATGAGGTTGAGTTTGCAGGAGGAGGTTATCCAAAAAAATCAACAAAACAAAAATAGCAAGCTCCATTATATGGAAAGAAAATATGATGTATGCATTTCCTGTTTTTTTTTTTTTTCTTTTTTTCACAACAGAAACCCTGTTGGCAGAACTGGTATCGCAGGACGTGGTTTATTTGGCCGGTGGGGACCTAATCACGCTGCTCATCTTGTCACCACTAGGTAGCAACTGGAATTCATTTGCACCCATTGTCAATAACAAATAAAGCTTTCGTAACAGTCTCGTGCAGCAACCTGGCCTAAGATAGCAAGCAATCTGTGGTCGTACTACCCAAAAGGAAGTCGCCCTTTGTTAATGGGACTTTTTTTTGTGCATTATTATTTGCGGGTGAAGGAAAATACAATTAACAACTGTAAAGTTGTTTTAATTACGAGATTGCTTTTTTATTGTTATAGTTTGTTAATCACTATCCAGTCGGTATATTGTGTAAAGTCGGAATCTCAAGTTATATCATATTAGGGAGATTTACAGTTACGTTTACGGCAAACGGCAATCGTATATTTGCACTATGTGACCAAGTTTTCCCTTATTCATGACATCTACCCCAAAATTAGTAGCTTCTGGTTAATTTTGTCTATAACACTTGTTCTGGACCGTTTTAGCGTCACGTTGAAATTCTCGACTTGAATCTGACGTTTGCCGTTAGCTGCAAACGTCATTCTAAAGCTCTCTAATAATTAGGAAAAACGCAGCAAAATTGGATAAATGACACGTTAATTTTCCTTGGTAAATAGCTTTTCATATTTTTTAAAGGAAAGAGAAGTATATTGTCCTCTTTTCCTCTAATATTTGGCCTGATCCCATGCTATTACAGATCGGCAATCGATTTTACAAGGGCCACTTTTTATACTTGTTTTGTACTTGCCTTATTAGCCTAAGGGTGACTACATCTATCGAGCTGGTTTCCTTGACTATTTTTGTTTAGGTGGAAAGAAGATAAAGACGGAAATACAATTCAAAAGGAAGGCAAGAACGTGCTAGAATTCGTGGCTGTGAGGAGGCCAGACATAGCAGAGTGGTCAGTTCCTGGGGTATGATGAATGCTTGACGATAGCAATATCTTCGCGCTATTACAAATATCTTAATTGCTTAGTCTACTTAGTTCACTATCTTTATTCGTTTTCGAAGCGTTCTGTCTGTTTAAGCAAAAAGCTGTAGACTCACTAAAGATAATTTGAAAGAATTAGAGTAGATAAATCATTAGTGAGTTTACGCAACAGGACGGTAGGAAGAAGAGGACGACAAAACACCTGTGTGTGACAGGGCTATTACATGTGTGTTTTGTCGTGATCATCACTTAACACCAATGTTTTCTGGTCCTTTACAAAAAGATCTGTTTCAAGGAAAGTGAAGTTTGGCGAAAAGTTGTTTCAAACAAAATTTTTGTCATCCTTGTCACACAAGGTTTGCGGTGTTCTCTCCTCTCCCGTCCTGTTGGGCAAGTTCACTAATGTCTGAATGAGCACGACTATTTCTGGTTTTGCAAGAGCACCCGCACTATCCTAACAATACAAGGCAAGTCAAAGCTGAATAAAACGGACGCAATGGAAGACTTTCTTCAGATGATCTTCAAGATTATAATTCAAAACCTTCACACTAGCAATTCATCAGTTTCTCACAGTAACAATAAGAGGCAACATCAGAAGACATAGGGGGTGGGATATTCCATGACGAAAAGACGTGATACTGACGTCATACTGAGTCCCAGTTTCCCACAAAGGCCTTTTCAGCTACGTAAGGATGAAGGTATGTCCAATGCAATCGTGTATCTCACTAAGTGTCACTTTTGTAATTTACAGGGTCTGGTAAACGTCGGGGACTCAATATCTGTGACACTGAAAAAGGTTTTGGATAAAAAAGTTTTACCAGCTCTAAAGCCCACCTTCAGTGATGGAAAAGAAAATCTGGATGAAACATTGAATTTTATGATTCAAAATGCTGTGGAGGTTTGTTCGTCTTTTTCTTTTGTAAAAAATTGAAAAGAGTGTACGTAAGCAAGCAGCAAGTTCAATCTGTCGAAAGTGAGGGTTCTTTGTAAAGGAAGGGGTATCAAATGGTAACCGGTCATCTCACTACAAAATTATCTCGCCACCAAAAAAGTCGCCAAGAAGTCGACTAGCCGCCAACCAACTCGCCACCAAGCAATAACTCCGTAATCAAACACGAATAGGCTTAGCGAAAAAGTAAAAATTCTAGGTAAGTAATCCTAGGTGAGTAAACACGTCGGTTTATACAGAGTCATTACTTGGTGGAGATTAGAGTTCTTGCAGGCGAGTTGGTTGGCGGCGAGTCGACTTCTTGGTTGGCGATTTGGTTGGTGGCGAGATGGTTTGTTGGCGGGATGACCGTAAACCTATTAAAAACATGTAACCACGTAGACAAGCCAGTCGAGGGAGTTTAATAAACGTTTATAACTGAAATAAATAGCCTAGTGGGCTACACAGACTGACACTAGACCTATACATAAAGTAAGCTTTCGGCGGATGTCGTAGCTATTGGGGTATTTAATGTTGTAGTAGATAGAGTTCCAAGAATTCTAATTCTTCGATTTTTCCCGAGTCCGGCTTCAGTACTTCTAAGAACTAATGCTAACCTCTTAATGCGAGGTGACTGCTAAAAATAATACGGTAACGTCCTGTAGGAATTATTATTTTTAAAAGGGGCTACGCGGTTATGCTATTTGCTGCCTTTTAAAAGCAAAACCGTTTGTCATATCAATTGAATTTCAAAACTAATCGTCCAGTTTTGTTATTTAAGAATATAATCAGGCATTGAAAATGTTTCCTGTCGTTCCCGATCTTTTGTTACGGATAGCAAGGATGAGTATGGATTGAAACTTGTAAAAGTTTGGCTAACCTCAGTAACAACTTTTAATGATATGGTTTGCCAAAATCACCAAAAAATTATTATGTTTAGTGCTCCATGATGGAATTTTTTTATTTCTTTCTCATAACTCTAGATCTCTATATGACAATTTTGTAAATATGTAAAGGCACCAAGTAATAACTTCAGCACAGAATTGACTCTTTGTGACAATAGCCCATTTTATGCATGACATACATACTGTATATACCAGAAAATCTCTTCTAATACCTGTCGAATTTTTTAGGTTTACAAAGGATACGTGGATGACCCGAGAAACACAGACAACGCTTGGATGGAAACAGTGGTGCTGAACTTCCATGATGAACCTAGAAAAACACTCGGTGATTTCGAGTTTGAGGTACGGTCCTGATCTAAAAATTCTTCAGTAAGCCGGCAAATCAATGTGTATCTATAATCAGTTAAAACATTTATTTAATCCTGGGGAGTGGTCAAGTCAAAAGCGTGAAGCAAACTTCTCCATACTGGAGTCTACGTAGCTACATGTATATGGATATAATTTGACTTTAAGTATGCTGATATGACCAAAGTAAATGGAAACTGGTTTATTCGCCGATCTATTGATCAAGCTAGGAAAACAAAGATTATCCCATACAAAATGATTGATTTAAAAGACGACAGAAAAAGTCTCCTTGACAGCTTTTAATGTTTGTAAACGTTAAAAGCTGTCAAGAAGACTTTTAGTTACTTAGTTTTTAAAAAGACTAAGGAACTGCATCAGTCCTTCATGTATGTTAAGATATCGATACGTGTTCTTTTAAATTTCTTTCTTTGCTATTACAGGCTAGAGAAGGTATCCGCTGTGTCAAATGGCAGGAGGTCAGCAGTCACATCAATCTTCAAGTCAATTATCATTTAATTTTAAAGAAGGTGGCTGAATTACGCAAAGCTTACTTTTGATGTAGACCATTTGATACGGGTAACTAACGATGGACGTTTTGCAACAGGACCAACTGAATGCCAGGATAGAGGATCACAACACGAGCTTACTACGTACTAGTTTGAATGAATTATTTTTTCCATGGTGCCAAATTAAAATTTGAACTCTTTTCTCGGAGTAAGGATGGAAATCGAATGATTTAACATATTTATTTTCCGTCAAGCCCTATTCAATATCACTCGTTTTCAGGTTATAATACGCTAAGTAGGGTGAAACTGACCCTGGTTATGAAGATCGCCTTGGAGCCTAGTGCCTCCTCAAACTCCTTGGCGCCATTGTATTCGTTGGTACAGCAAGTACCAGCCTATTTAGCGCAACTAACTTTTTGAGGACACCATTTTTTACGCGTTCTGGTGACGGGAACACTACCTTTGCGTGGTCTTTGAGACACGGAAATGTCTAGCCATCGGAAAGACGGCATGAGTATCTTGGTTCTGTTAAGGAGACTGAACTCGCGACCTCCCGCTCGTGGACAGACTAACACGCGAGAGCTACACGAACTGAACCCCTAAACTGCTTTAATTCACTGGGTAATGACCTACTTTTTTAAGCAAAGGGCATGCACAACTGTCTCCAGTCACCGAGTCCCACCATCACCTCAAAAGCGACGGCGGCGTGTAAAGAATAACAAGGAAATACAATATGAAAAATAATAATAAGCTTTTTTTATCCATCTTTAAAAGTATATATACAATAGATTTACAAAATAAAAGTTAAAAAACATATACTGTGAAATACTATTAAGTATATTTCTAATACAAAAGTAAGTTAAAAATATACAGATCAGAAGGAGTCTTGCAGCTCTTGCCGCTATAAACGAGTTAGTATGTCTGCGTTCCTGACTTTGGTATTGCCACTGAACCTGGTTTGGATCTTAATAGGAAGTTATAGTCGTGGCTGGTATTTGGGTTTGTGAGAAAAATTTGATTTGGGTGGTTAATATCATTCACAATTATTCTTTCTAATTCACCTGTGTAGTTGCACCTGTCCTCTAACATTGAAAGAGATATTCTTGATGATCCCGAAGATATCTAGGCACCCGTTTTGTATAGACTGCAACTCTTCTGCAAGGTGCCTCGGCACACCAGGGAGGCATATTCCAGGAGTGTGCGTATTCTAGTACAATATATCGTGATGCCGATCTCTGTGGGTAGGTTTGCTTTCCTACATTTCCTCAAAAAATGCAATGTCTTGCTGGCTTTATTTACTGTCTGTTCAACATGGTGATTCCAACACAGGTTGTCTTGTTGCTATACCCGCAGTAGCTTAAACTTGGATACCATCTCCAAACACGAGTCATTTATTGGTAAAAGATCCGGCTCAATAGAGTTTTTGCAGAACGAAATCCACAAATCTTGGTTTGCCCCGCCTGAACTGTGAACTGAAACTACCTTACCTTGTCCAGCAGAACACGTAAGAGGCTTGTTATCCTGTAAATAAGTCTTCTTGGCATCTCTATGAGGGGATGGGATGAGGGCCAAGAACGAGACCGAACGAGAGAAGTGCGCTACTTGTTTGTGCCGAACCTTTATCAGTAATTATGAGAAATAAATAAACTATTACATGTAAAACAAAAACGGGTCGCAGGACTTTTAAGTATAGCTGTACCGCAATTTGAAAATACATAATTACACAGTTTTGCACTTTGTATCTACTGTAATTTGCAAATAGCCTGTTCCAGGCCTATAGTATGGACGTACGTGGCGCTGCACTACTATCTTGGAGCCTGGAACAGGCTAATTTGCCCATAAATATGATATACTGGTTATAAAATATCAATCTTAATGCCGTTTCACAAGCATATAGCCAGCTGGGAAACTGTCTAATCCGCGCAACGTTCATGTGAGGGATTGGAAAAGTTTAACAACGCAAAGGAGTTATCTGATGAGCTCCTGACATTTCTTATGAGATATCTTACCTGAGACCGGTGTTAGTCGTAGCCTGAGAAAACAGTGGAACTTTAGCGACGCTACCACTGGTTTCCCCGCCAAATGAAGTCTGAGAAACGAGCGCAGAAATACCATACTGATGATGCGTCAAGTGCTACCCAGATCT